ACAACGAGAAACTGACAGAAACCGCACAAACCAGAACCCTGCAGTGGTTTCATATGCCGCTCATGTTTATTCGTGACCACATCACTACACTCCCACACCTTCAGTGGTAAAAATCTGAATAAAAGTCTGCATCTGTCATTTAAGTATTTAATAAATAAACAGTGACTGTGCGGCTTCTAATGAGAGCACTGATCTCAGCACTGATAGAAAACCTGAAACACTTTATTGCCACTGATCAGTTTAGTTTACTACCACAAAAACCCACTGATGTTCCATCCATGTGCTCATTTTATCCTCAACTGAAACACACTTGATTTATGAGCTCCACATGCTGACTTGCTGATCACATCTCTGGTACTGATTAATGAAGATTGAGTTATCAGCACTGATAATAGATTACAGCAGTCAGGATTACAGTAATCTGGCAGTCAGAGCTGATGTCACTAGGATGGTTTTTATGAAGCACAACGCTAAACACAAAGTCTTCAGTGTACAGAGTTTAGCTTGAATCTCTGAGCTCGAATCTTGCGGGCAGGATGTCCGGACGTCTGTCTCCGAGCTGCTCAGATCAGTCTCAGCTGTTTCCCCTCTTTTTTAAAAAATTTTTAGATTCCCAATGCTCCGTGACACTGCTCGCTTTCTGGCTTTTCGTCGTCTATAAATCTGCTGAGTGAAACAAACAGAGATGTATGAATCTACACGTCTCCGCAAAGATGCACGCACAAGTAAAAACAAAAGTAAAACTTGGTATAAAGAACGATGGGGAGGGGAACGAGGGGAAACTGGAGCTGATGTCGTGTTATCTCTGCATCTGCAGGTCAGTGAATGCTGCTCGTGTCAGGACAGACGCCACCTCTGACCTTTTTATTCCTGCCTCAGAGCGGGTTGGTTTAATTTCTGCCCCCGTGCGTCTCAGCTCTACAGGCCGGACAGAAAAAAGTTGATTTATCAGCTTTACAAACTCCACAGGAGAGATTCAGAGTTTGCGCTTCACGTTGGTATTTTTTTAGCAGCCGACATCAAACTGAGGGTTTAACTGCCTGTTTCGCTGGGCGGAATGCTTTTTACTGTGCTCTATTGTGTGTTTATTGCACTTTTAAGTGGTGTATTGTGTGTTTAGTTTTATAGTGTTTCAGCTTACAGGACTGACCCCAGTAAAAAGTTCACCAAATCGGAGCTTCATACTCAACACTACTTTCACCTCGTTGAGCGGATCCTGTGATTCCCGTGGAAGAAAATGACTTTAAGAAGAAGAGGAAGAAGCTAACACGTGAGCTTTCAGGCAGCCGTGACATCTGAGTCAGGATCGCTCCAGATGGAAACTTATTTATCCTTTTTCCATTAGTCCTGGAGACACTTGTGTGAGCTGCTAACACTCACGGCCAATGAAACCATGCTGACAGTTAAATAAACAGTTCACCTGGAAGACGAAAAACATTTGAAAACAGGAATCCTGCAGCTCGAGGCAGATTAGATTTAAGACCTCTTTAACACCCCTCAGAATTAAATTTAAGACCAGCTCTCCTGCAAGTAAGATTTAGGAATGAGAAAGTGACATCATCCCACAGATATGTTTGTTTTTCTATGATTTCGTCGAAGCTCTTAGCATCCACAATAAGCTGATGGGATCCCAGACTTTGGCTTAAATATTAAAAAACATGGCTTTATATCAAAAAACAAACTATAAATGTTGTTGCTTCTCCCATTGTGATCTGTGTCATTAATACAAGGCACTTTCTGATAATTATAGTTATTACAAATCATTTAGAGATCTTAATTTCACTGATAAAAAAAATACTCATAGAATTCAACTGTTCCCACATCTTCAAATGTTGATTTAAGACATTTTGGAAAAAATGAAGGCGTCTTTTTTTAGATGAATGAATTCACTCAGCTTTATGACTATTTAAGAATCCACGGGAAACATGCCCAGCTGCTCAGTTCATAACTAAAGTGAAAAGGATTGAGCAGAAAGACTTCTTCACCCTTCTCCTGCTTCATTAGTTGTTTTTCCATCCAAAATTTTCTCCCTCAAGAAGTTTTTTTTTTCAGGGAGCTGAAAGTTTCCTTCAGAGTATTGTTTGTCTGCATTTCCACTCCACTGAAGACAAAAGATCTGGCAGAATGAGTCCAGTGACGTAGCGAGAGCTGCTTTTAAACACTAGGCTTTATAAGAACGTAGTTAGCAGGCTACATCTCAGCTGTCTCTCTTTGTTGTTGTGCGACTGCTTTGGTTACAAAAGCTAGCAGTGTGGCACCTTTTAAAAATAATACAGCTTTAAAACAATAAAACATCTGATTTCTTTTTTTAAGCCCACTCAGCCACAAATGTTTGTCTCGATCTCTCTTCCACTTTCCTTGGTTAGTAACACTATCCCCACCAATGACAAAATATTTCAGCAATTATTGTTTCACATCAAGCGCCGGTGTTAAAAATCGATCTTTCTACTCATTCTTTTGATCGATATTTATGTATATAAACAACACTCTGATGTGGAAAGTGTTACATGTGACATTTGTTGTGCTCACACTCTCCAACTTTAACTGATGAGCATCGAGATCCAACCCAAGAACCCACAACAAGTGGGTACGCCTTCCTCCACTAACCCTAAAATGAGTGGGGAAGTTACCATCATACAAAATGATACACATGAAAACCAGACAAGGGCCCCAGTGTCACACCCGCGGGTTTATTTCCACTAAAATTCATGCAAATGCCACAGTGGATGTGGTTTGAGGTTCCAAGAGCTCCTGTGAAGAGGTGCAGTGGTATAAAAAACTCTTCTCCACACTAGAAGAGATTCACATTGACCAAAAACTATTGAAAGTCAATGTCACATGTCACAAACTGTTCTCAACTTCTAGGTGATTGAAGCCTCAGCCAATGAGAGTGCAGGACACAGCTGACTGACATCAGCTGCTGATTGACATAAAACCTGTCCGAGTCTGGAATGTCCATCAGCCATCACCTTTGTGTTGCTTTCAGTGTGAACGCAGCTGAAAGAAGCTCAGTTTAAAGTCCTGCCACACTTAAACCCAACATCATCTTCAGACACACTGACCACGAAGAGCCTCACACACACTCAGGGCACATACTCTGAACTATTTAAAGCACAGCTGTCAGCATGCATGTGCGTGAAGTGACAGTCAGCAGCTCTGAGAGGATGTGCCAGTTAAACCTCTCTGCCAGGAAGGTCACGAAAGGCCCGGCTGTATAAACCACACATAAAGTGTTATTTATAAAGGAAGAATGTGCAGTGCAAGTTCAGCCTGATATGGTGAAATCGAAATGAAAATGAGGCGAGACAGAATTTCGCCTAAAAAGTTTATTAATAGCTTTTATTTATGTGTTCTGTGCAGCTGTGTTTAATGGCCATGTGTAAGGATGGATGCTCTGGTGCTCTTTTGTGCCTTGTTTACCATCCTTTCCTTGGAATTTACAGAGACGGTGTCCTCAGTAACTTCTTCCTTCAGTAGTTATTTTGTTCCCTTCGGTATTCCATACCTGATGCCGCCAAATAAAACACTTCCTTTTATCACTTTTTCGACAAGTGTGACGGTTTCTAATTATTGTGTTTTTGATTGACATGTCTGATAACATGCGGTACAAACATCCATCCATGAATGGAGATGAGAGTGGAAATGAAGCACAGTGACTGAGATCATCACAGAAGCACTATGACAACAATGTGTGTTAATGGCTTTTAAAGAAAAGTGTTTCCAGCCTTTGGGGCTGAAAGATGAAGACAAAGTGACAAACACTGCAGTTCCTCTAATGACCACTTGGCTCCTAAAGCGAGTCGACCCATTGCCTTGGATTTAAAAAACAGACTTTACAACAGAAATAAACAGGATACAAAAAACATCTGTAGGCTATAAAGCCATTTTCCCTGTTTGTGATAACTGTTTGTTTTGTTTTTTTTAACAAGATGACACATTTGAACCATGTTAATGCTTAAAGTTGACATTATTATAACCCCGGAAGCTTTGAGTGTCAGGTGGATGGAGAGAAAGCGGGTCAGTGCTTCACCTCAGCTACTCAGAGCCAGTGAAAAAACTTTGTGACTGTTTTTGAAGACTTTTGGAGCATTTAAAATCCAATAATAAGACAGCCAATCACAGAAGATTGTGCTCCACCTCAAGAGAGTGAACTTCTAATATTTTTATGCTCCGTAGACTTAATTACCTGTATCTGTGCGATGTAGTTGCACCCATACTGTCTTTACGTATGCAGCTTGCTAGCTTTAGCTGATAACTCCACTCCACCCTAAATGTGGTCACTTCTGTGTGCAAAACACCAACACGGCGATCGTAAACCAGTGGGTGATGTCAGTTTGTTTGCACATCTCTGCCTTTGTGGATACACAGTGTTAGTAATGATGACGCTATAGAGTTTGATTTCCTCATGCATGTCAGTTTATATTCAAGTTAAACACTTTTTCCCTGTGAAAACAGGAAACAGATGAAGGTGGACAGAAATCCAGAAACTGCTTTGAGCTTGTTTGTCATCTGAAGCAGTGACTGTAATGAAAGGACGGCAGGAAGAGACAGAATGAAGCTGTTATTAAACGTCTGTGCAAATTAAATGTTTTAAGTCCAAACATCTCAGATGTCTAAACCAAACATTTCACAGAGACGTGTCATAAACAGAAAATTAAGTTATCAGCTTACAGTAAACTTCAGGTGCTCATTGACCTGAAATATCAAAAACAGGCTTAAATTCACCTTTAATTACAGCTGTTACTATAGAAACAATGTAAAAAGAGGTGCATGATGTCATCGGATCCTGACATCAGCAGAGGGGCTCACTCTTAAATATCAGACCTGCAGAACTGAACCAGGAATCAAACTAGCAACCTGTAAGCACTTCCTGTCAGAGTAAAACACACACACATAAAACTCTGAGGTGAGGTCATAACACCTTGACGTCACCACCTTATCCTTTCTTCATTTCCAACCTCATCATCATCACCATCCTTTCCGCGCACGTGTCATCTTACCTGTGCCTGCTGGCAGCGCGGGCTCCGTGCGCGTGTCCATTGGTGTACAGGTTGTAGGACTGTCGCAGCGGGAACGCGCCTTTGGCGTGTCCGCAGGTCCAAAGCACGAGCAGCAACAGTAGCGGGAGCGCGGCCATCCCTCCGATCAATACGCGATCAATACAGAGTATCGATACCTTATCGGAGTCTAATCAGCTTCCTCAGCTGGAAGGGAAGACTCCCATCTCCATGGAAACGCCACAAAAAAAGTTTCCTCAGAAGTCCGTCAGTCCCACCGACCCATGGTCCGGACCCGATCAGACCTGAAGACCTGAAGCCGAGTCCAGTCCCCCCCCTGACCCGCTGCGGGGCCCGCTGCTCCCAGCCTTTAATCCGCCTTTAATGCCACTTTAATCCGGCTCGGCGCGGTCCCGGCTGGCCCATCAGAACTTTACTTGAGAAACAAAGAGAAGAAAACGTTGCGACAGACTGAACCGAGACCAGCTGCTCCTCCTCTTCATCACACCGCCCCACCGAACTGTCTCCGCCCCTGCCGGAGGAGAAACCAGACCCGCACCCACACCTGAACCAGGACTGGGATCAGTGATGAAAACGTGAAACCGCACGGAGCCTCAGAGAGGCTTTAAAGGACCAGACTGCGCTTTTTAAACTTCTCTGCCCCGTTTTTCCTTTCTTTGTATGTGTGTGTGAGAGAGAGAGACTGTGTGTGTGTGTTTTAAGCACTCTCTCTCTCTCACACACACACACACACACACGTATAAAGTTAATGTAAATCAGCTGAATCTGATTCTTTCGTTCCTGATTTTGTTGCCAGTTTAATGAGTTATTATTCCGAACACTTGTTTGCTATTTTGATTTGTTATTTTGATCTGCAGTGGATCCTTTGAAGCTCTTAAAGAACATCTAAGAGTTTAATCTCAGCTGACAGTCAAGTCACTGCAGTTTGTCTCAGCTGGTTTCGGATTAGTGAGACTTCCTACAGAATGTAAAAAGTCTGTTTTTACTTGGTAAATGTAAAGTGCAGTTAGCTGGTAATGAGGCGACTTGTGGATGTGGGGCCACTTTTTGAGGTGTGGTTCACTGGCTGATGCTTTATTCTGACAGGTTTTTGGTCACATTTCAGTGGATAAAGTCAGCAATTCCTAAGTTTCTGCAGGGGAGCCTGCAGAGTAATCACAGCTGTTCTTCACATCTGTAAAGTTCAACAATCCAAAGTGTCCGAATACTTCTTATTTTAGGATTAAGTTCATGTGTTCTCATTCAGGTTTATTTATTTTAGGAGCAAATTAGTGTTCCGAGTAAATGTTTGATTTCCTGGATTGTATACCGAGCCTTACGATGGTCCTTGTGCACACCTGCATATGTGTCTGCGATTCATTCATTTATGTGATGAGGCAGAGGAACAGAAACGTGTTTTAAAATGTTAAAAAGTTGCATCCTGTAACGTGACACCGAAGACGTTAATGAGCGTTTGATGACACTCGGAGCAGAAAACATCCTGCAGACTTCCTGAGGTTAAAGGATGTTTTACATCTGCTCTCCTCAAAATAGACAAACATGCCACTAACTTTCACTACGCGATAACCCTTTATATCAGTGTTGTTTGGACCATTGTTGTACTGTTTTTCCACACATCCTGCCCTTCAGTAGACCCCAGTGTGGTCATCTAACGTCTTATAATTTTGTCATTTATCATAAGGTTTGTTTGGTTTTTTAAATTTTAGTTGAGTTGAGTTTCCTTTGTTTGCAGAATGGCTTTACTCCTTACACTTGTTGTTTACACGTGTTTCGTTTCTGTAGGCGTTTTTCTCTTTTTCTTCTTATTTTTATTATATGGGGGTATTTTTCAGGGAAAGGGGTTTCAGAAGTGGTATTACAACACAGTCACAGCAGTTTGCGCAGGCAGCTGACTCACAGTCATGTCGACATTCAGAGTAAACATGTGTACCACAGCTGTCTCATGCTGGTTCTGTTGACAAATGAACATGGACTAAACCAAAAACCGTTTCCTTTTTTTAAAACATTTTTCTTTTATTACAGTTTAGTTGGTTTGCAAGCACACTATATGAATTTACATTACAATGCACCAGCTACACATGGGCCCGTCCTTCAGTTGTCCGTGTTCGTAACCAAGTATAATCCAGACTTGAGCGTTGCGTCTGTGAAACCAAGCCATCGCTTGTTTATGTGTCGCGTGCCAGCTGTGACATCACTTCGTCAACATTTGTCCTGGTCCTTGAGATGGACCAACCTCGCTGCTGCGCTGGTACATGTGTAGAAGATGTCAAAACAGGAAGCAAAGCTATCTCACAGCTTTTTTTCCAGAAAGTCTTTAGAAACTTTTGCAGCATCTCTGTATAATCTGACAAACTCCGAGCTTCCTGTAGAGATGTTTATATAAATAACAGCAAAGCAAAGATGATCATACAGCATGAAGGTGACAAGGGTCAGCATATATACCAGGTGTTACACTGCACTCTCCTTGCTAATGGTTTATGATTAACAAGTTATTAGATGAACACACCTTCTCTTAGCATCCTTTCTGGCTCCAACAATGAACATAATTTACAAAATAAACTTCCTGTTTCATTCCAGACGAACTGAAACTGGTGATCGAGCTCATGAGAACAAAGTTTGCACGGGTAAAGCAGCAGAGACAACAAAGAAAAGTCTCTACAAAAGCAACTTTATTTCAAACAGGAGCTTGACTTCTGTGACCTGCCAGATCCCCAGTGAGCTGATTTTACATGAAGTGAGCTGAAAATCTTTTTCCTCAGTTCATCTAAAATAAATCTCAAATAGAGTGACTGTACGCTGACATCGAGTTTGGTAAAGACACACAGGCTGAGAACAAGACTGCGTTTATTCAAGTATAACCACCATTAGTTTCATTTTTTTTCATAGCCACAGAGTTTTGAATTTCTTAAACAATCACTAAAAGCTTGAATCTTACAGCATGTTAAGTCAACACTGATGCATGGCCTTGTCAACATTTTGGTTTTGCTGGGTATTTAAGAGTTGGGCAGAACAATGTAAAAACAAAGTAAGATACTGAGCTCTGCCGAGATCCTTTTCTGTGTCTTTTTTCCTCATTCAGCCTGCTCAGACCTACTCTTCATCAGCGATGAGTGCATCTGAGAAACTGAGGGCACCCACATTCTCAAAGTAACGACTGCTCCCTCACACAGCAGCCACACCCAAAATTATAACCTGCTTAACTGTCTGTATTATTCTAAATGAGGCCCTCATTGGCTAAGTAAGCATCACGCTGTACTAAAAATGACATAAAACTATTGTTTGAATCGATTAACTCATTAGGGAAATGTTTACTGCAGGCACAGGGGGGTGGGAGCTGTAGGTTGTTTTTCTCATAGACATACATATACAGCCCAAGGTCGTGTTTTTGCAATGAGAGAAGTTGCCCCCTGCTGGCCATTAAAAAGAATGCACGTTTGAGGCACTTTGCAGTTTTTATCTTTAGTCCACAGTCTGAGGTCATGCAGTAAATATCAAAGACACAAAGACATAACATCACCACACTGACATCTTTAGAGACTCACGTAAAGTGTCAAAAACAATGATCATCAAACAGAAACGATGACAACAGATGCAGCAGAACTGTTCTTTCTGCAGGAGCCTACAGTACCCATGATGCACCAGCGATAGTCGGCTGTTAGATTGGGGTGTGTGCTGGTAGTAGCTAATGTAGCTCGAAGCAGAGTTTGTAAGCTCACTGCTTTCTAACCTCACACTGAGTTTTCAGATCAGACAGCAAATTCACACGTCTGCGTCTGACTGTAAAACCAGCGACAGCACTGACCAATGCTGGCTCAAGACAGGAATACTGACGGTAAGCATACGGAAAAATATCTGTTTAGCTGAACGCCGACGAGCCACCACCTGCCCAAACTGTGATACAGACTGTTTTCCCTAATAGGAACAACAGAGAGAGAGAGCTAAAACAGGACTCTACAATGGAAAACACTTTATCAGATCTCATAAATCATGTGGTGACCCCCCTCTTCCTCAGGCTCTACCCTCTCCGGGTGGAGAGGCGGACCACCCAGACTCCATCACTCACACTAACCACTGTTTTCAGTTTTATGAGTCTCTTTTTAAATGGAGTTTTGTATTAAACACAGAGACACATTCCTGGGCGAAAGCCTCAGGTGAGACACAGAAACAGAGAACCGCATTACCAACCAGACAAGAGCCACTCTGAAAGCTTTTCCTTTTGAATAATCGAGTAGCTCATGAAAGTTAATAATGTCCCTGGTTTGTTCTTTATTTCCTTTAAATGTTCACTATGTGAAGGAAACCAAATAAAAGTTAATTTACCTCTTTAGCTGTTTAACTGATCTGAGCATGTACAATCAGACTGTAAGTGGTTTTAACAGGAAAGTCCCAGCTGACCTTTAAAATGCTCAACCATTAAGACCTCCATCTCTCCTGAACATTTGGAGTTGTCTCTGGACAAAACCACTAAGATTCTTCCTCATCTTCTTCTTCTTCTTCTTATTAGATAAACACTACAACCATACAGGAAACCCAGATGGTGACTAATCAGAGAAGTGCTTGCTAACTTTCCTCAGCTTTTAGTCTTGAAATATAAAATATAAGTGAAAGTTGTGCCAACGTTACCTGGATGTTGTAGGGCTTTATGTTCAGGAATCATTTTATATTATAGAGTAAGAATGCCAAGAAAAACAGTACACCCAGAAACTCTTGATCTTATGCTTGGATGACCAGCTCTGTTCACACTGAGCTAGCTGTGAGATACCTGAGCAGACGGAGCCACCATGATGTCACCAACTCTGCATTTTGTAGCCTCTGTGCTAGCACTTTGGTCAACAACTTTTGTTTCTTGGAGACAGAAGTGACCATATGTGGACAAGAAGGCGGTGTCCTGGTTTATTGGCTAAGTCTCGTTAGCTTTATTAATACGAATGATGCAGTTTAACATAGTGCCAATCAGTGTTGGTCAAGTTACTTGAAAAAAGTAATCAGTAACTAATTACTGATTACTTCCCCATCCCATTACTTTACTGATTACTTATTTTCAAAAGTAATTAGTTACTTAGTTACTTTTTAAAAACATGATTTACAACCTGAATAGGTGAAAAAGCGATAGATCTTTCAGCCCAATTCTACTTTCTGCATAAGATGTAATATGATGTAATAATCCATCATACAAAATGTAATCAGATGGAAAAGTCTCTTTTTAAAATTTGTTTTATCAGTTTTAATCTTTTAACTTTATGCATCAAGCAAAAATTACATTATATGCAACATTCTGACTGGAAGAAATTTGTTTAACGTTTAAACCTATTTTCTGCACATTCCAGCACATAAAATAAAATATTTTTTTGTGTTTACACTCAGTCTTTCAAATAGATGCAAGTAAAACACAGCAGAAAATAAATAAAGTCACAGACTCAGCGGTCCTGTTGCTCTATTTTCACCTGTTTGCCCTGGTGCAGGTGTGCCGCAGCGGTCAGTGGAAGAATCCACGAGTTTCTCTGTGAGTTTCCCATTACGTCGTAGCTACTCGGTGCTTGTTGGAAGTTTAGGGGTTTTTTCGCTGTAAAAAGAAGTTTTCTTC